GAGTCCTTCGACGTGTATCATGGTCGCCGCGAGTTACAGAGCTATATGGAACCGAAGGACGTTAATCACGTGAGAATCGCGGGAAGGGACGCGGTCGAAGTTTACGGGAGAGGAGGAGAAGACACGTGCACGAGAGGAGAACGTTCACGCGTAAACGGGGAGGCGTGAACGCGGCCCTCTAATGAGAACGAACGCTTAACGGTTAAACACCACTAGACGGCCCCCGATCTTGAATAATTCATCGAAAACGCACGCTCGACCAGGCGACCCGGGAGCACCGCCCTAGACCTCCGCGCACCCATAGTCGTAGGGGTTCGGCGAGAATGATCACGTTTCGAGGAACGGACGGTTCAAGAAATCTGTCAGATCCTCGCGATCCCTCGTTCTCTTCTCCCGCGTTTCCGTTTACTGGGAAATATCGAGTTGCGCGTTATCTCGACCAATCGCAGACAGATTATAAAAACTGAAATGCGACCCGAGTATTACGCGCGCCGCACCCTTTTCCCCGACCGCGGAAACGCGCTCGCGTTACATAAACGTGCATCGATGGGACGTTTATGCAATCACGCTCCTCCCATTTTTAATCGACGCTTTTTTCTCCCTGGCCGGACGGTGGGATCGCGGCACGAGATTTCTGCCGGGATCAGGAATGCGCGTCGGCATTCCTCATTGGCATATTACGATGGAATCGTCGAGGTCGCCTGGTTCCGCTGCGACCGGTGGCAGGGGAACGAGCAGAGGAACGAGTCGTCGAAGAGAGGAAGCCTACCTCGGCGGAGGAGGCGGCCACCGGTTTTGTATCTATACGTGTGAGGAGAGGAGGATCGACCGATCGATACGGACGACACCGAGGCCTGTACGACCGCGGAACTGGGTTAACAGAGCTACCCCCTTTTGCACGAACCCCACCGAACGCTGCGCAGAAGTAAATCAAAAGTTTTTTCCCCCTCGCGATGACCGGGGGCTGATACTCCTCGTTTAGTTTTATCCCTTGCATGCGCGACTTTTTTGCGACCCGCTTCTTTTTCTCTCATTTCACGTTTCAACGAGGTATTATCATCCGGGCACAAAAAGCTCTGTTCGAGCACCGAGTCCGATGAAATATAAATATAAAATTAGATCTCGATCGGGCGAACGATTCGCAGAACGCTCGGGAACTTCGCAGATTATCACCAGGAAAGGAGAATCGTTTTCGTTCTGACAGAACTTTTACCACTCGATCATTAAAAAGTCGAAGTTGCGGCGAATGCGCGCGGTATAATTTCGAGAATCACACGGTACATGAGTCTAATTGAACGACTTCCTGGCAACGAACAGATTTCGCGTAACTCGCGGCCGGCCGAGTACGAAACTCGCGGAACGGGCGAGAACGAAGATCACCGCCACCCCGGGCCGGCGACCGATTCCGCCTCGCTCTGGAAACTTTTCGAGGTGGCGGCGGCAAAAACGACGAGCTCCCCGCGACGAAAAAGGCAAAGACGCGGCGGTGGGTTGGGTGGTTCGCGAGATACGCAAAGACAAAGATAGACGCCGAAAAAAGTACAGAAGAAAAAGAGGAGAGAGAAGGCGAGGGAGGGAAACGGAGTCGCTGGGTCGAGGTGGCGCGTAGGTGGAGGACGCGAGGTGGAAAGGGGTTGAGGGTTGCCTGACACTGAGCCGGTGGGGGAGGAAGCTCTCTCTCTCTCTTTCTCTCTCCTCCACCAACTTTATAATTCTTGCGACGCTTTTGGGGAATGAGATTGTCGGCGCAGGGGCAGGGGTGGCAGAGCGAAGGGGTGGTTTAAGGTAGTCCGCTGGCGCCAGTGACGTCTGCCGAATAGCTGCTGACTTCCAGACTCCTGCAGTTTCGGCTAAGTGGTTCCCTTTTGCCCCACTTGAATGTCTGCACACCTTCGTCCTCCCACCCCTTTATCTGGCCTCGCGCGCCTCACGATTTATCGATTCGTCACAGAGACCCGTCGATCTACGCGTCTATACAACACGTTACATGAAGTACCCTCCTGTCATCAATTTTTAAATCTTTCTTCCGTCCGATAATTAATATTGCTTCCAATTGCATATAAAAAAAAACATTCTAATAATTCTAATCGTTCACTTTTGAATCTCGCTGATATTTTTACTATTAGCCGCATATTTTACAATACTTTAAATTTTCCTCGATCTCGAATAGCCCCGTCACTGTCTAAACTGGCTGCTATCTGCACATCTCGACGGCGCATAACCCGAAAGCAATCAGAACAGAGCATGGGGTTCCTCGGCAACTTCGAACGCCTATTTATCCCCGACGCCGATAAACGAAACGGGCGTACGGAAAATTTTTATCCATATCGATGAGAATCGTAAAAGGAAGCCGCGTTTCCTTGCCAACAAGGTCGTTTCCGCTCGGCTTTAATTGACTCGTATGAAAGCCAAACTAATCAACCCTGTCCTTCTTTCAAATTGATTATAAGACTTCTCAAAAGTTCTCTAAACGCTTAATTACAGGACGTATGTAGTGTACGGAAAACGATCCATGAAACACACGTGGCTCTCCATTAATTATGATCGTCTCCATAATTTCGAAAAAAAATATCTTATAAAGTTTTAAATATATTTGCCAAAAATTGTAAAAAATGACGATTGGAGTTCGATCTCTCTGTTTCACAATAGATCGACTGACAAGTGATCCACAATCAGCAAAGAGGATGAAATTCGTGAACGTGGCGCGGTCGCGAGTTACACGTAGCAAGATCCAAAGTTGAAAAGCCGGCAGGGAATAGAAACGAACAGGAGGAGGGGCGGGAAAAAAAAAGATAGATCGATCCGGAACTAACGGAAAACGGGCATTTCGCGTTTCATGCATCGAACAAACTGTAGGAATGCCGGAGGCGCTAATATACCAGGGCGTAACAGCAGGCAGGTAGCGTGTTTTTTCAGCGCGTCCACTCGCTGAAAAATATTTTGCTGAAAGCTAATATCTATCCGGGATACGCCGATATATTCCGTACGTGTAAATACTATCCACCCGAGTTTCTCGTAGAGGCAACGAAGTAGTCTCTCATGGTCGGTCGACCCCGGGAGAGAGTGTACCCGGGAAAAATGAACGCGATCCGTCTACGTATCAATATATTTTTCCAGACGATACGGAAGCGGCCGTGTTTTACAATCGCCTACGGGACGCAGCATCTTTTTTTTTACGACCGAGTACCTTTTATTACTTGGACCAGTTTCGAAGCTGCATTGTCCCTCGAAACTTTTTCGAAGTCTGACGAATAGCTTGAAACTTAATATCCAGACTCTCGCACATTCGCTAATTGTACGAGACACCCGACTTTCCATCTGGAATCATTTTTTTTACGGGAACTTTTTCAGAATACACTGAGACAATGTATGCATTAAACCGTTGAATAAATTCGTGTGAAGATTGTATTGCATTAGGGAAACGGCACGCGGCGAGATTGTGAAACTTTTAAGCGGGGGATCTGAGAATTAATGCGTTATTCCAATGATACTTGATACACTGTACAATCTGACTATGTTTCAATGAATTTCTAAAAAGTCTGCTTAGTTAAAATTGCCTACAACTTTTCGGTGAGCCTCAGCAGATTAGCTTGAGAAGATTTCATTATCGTAACGAATATCAAATCTCATTTGGAACCATTCTTAATTTCCGAAACGTCGGTCAAAACATGCGAAATCGTTTTTCCTTTATTATTGGAGCTTCAATCGAATGATTTTTTATCTCAATATTATACCCGAACGAGCTGTATTCAGAATTAACTGGCCGAATAATTTTTGAAATATGCACAAGCGAATAACGGGGGATCACCAGAACGAAACTGTAACATATTAAACTAGTTGCTTCTCGTTATTATATTTTAAAAATCGAGAGGTAAAGGATTACGCGTTATTAGGTAAAAAGTTACGTCGAAACAAATTATTAATGTCTTCGTAAATTCGAGCTTACCGCGCCCACTCCTACTCCTCAGTATAAATAATTTACGACCATTTATCTCCGAGTTCATGATCGATAAACCACCCCCCTGATTTACGCATTCTTTAAAGTTGACTACGATTTCTTTTTAAATACAAATGAAAGACTTTTATGTGACCGTTTTATATTAAACACGGCCACTAACTGAATATTATAACGCGCAATTAAAAGAACATTTTATTGAAGGTAGGAAACCGGTTTTTAATTTTTTCGTCTCGCCGATTATTACAAAATTTCGCGTTTCAGAGCCTGGCGAGGCTCAAGTCCTACGGAATGAAATTACGACCGTGGGAACGATCGGGGCAAAAACAAAATCGCAACAAATTTCGGTGCGCAATCAGCAGCAGCCGAGAGAACGAATCCGGGATGAAAAACCGGCGGCCGAGAGTCGATCGTAAGCCCTTCCAATGTGTCATGATTTCCGGAATTATACGGGCGCTCGTTTAAAACCGGACTCCGCGCTCCCGATTAACGCGAATCAACTTATTAGAGCTCGATATTCGCAAATCAGAATTACACCATTGCCCCTTCTTTCTCGTTCGAAGTACGGAACGTCCAATTTTATAGATCGACGAGGCAAGTGTATCTCTATCGTCAAATCATATTTTTCAATTGCTCACGAGTATAGAATCTCATTGTTATCATGTTTCTCCGAAGGATGCAAATATTTTCGATTTAATTCGCCTTGCCAGTAACACGAAGCATCGTATAGAAAACGATTTATAAAATGTTGTACCAGTGAGAACTGTTATGAAGTAGTCGCACAAATATTATTTTACATCCGCGGGAATCAAAGTTGTCCGGAAGCCATTTTCCTATGAATTCGTGTACCTTCCACGTGGCCGGCAAGGCAAATATTTGTAGGCTTCGAGACCGTCTCGCGAAGATACGAAATAAGAAAAAAACTGTTTTCCACTTCGATCATCGTCACTCGACCAGCAGTGATCAATAAAAATTGTTACACGCGAAGCCGGAATATTTTCCATTAGGAATCGCGAATCAAATGACATTGATTTAAATGACTCACCGATGAACTGCCCCTCGGACGCAGTGTTCCCGTCTGTCAACGAACGACGACGACAAGAACGAAGGTGGTGTCGAGGGCAGGGGAGTCCACTGCTAGTGGACCCACGAGGGAGGCGCGGCTGGAGTCGCCGCGTTTGTGCTCACGTATACTCCCGCGGGTGCGTTCCCGGCGGTGGTACCGACCACCACGTTGTTCTGGGAGACGGGACCGTTCTGTCCGATGTTACCATCGCTGACCTGGATCGTCGTCGTGCCCATCACGCCCTGCTGGAAGTTGAAGTCTAGCGTGCCGTCCATCGACAGCTCGTGCTTAATTACCTACAAATATATAAACGTTCTTCACCATCTTCTGTACCCCTCAAAAGATAAATGAAACTATACTGTGTAACGAATATACGATTCATGAACGTTTATAAATTTTAGACATACACGAAATCGAGTAGAAACAAGTAGTTATTAAATAGTAAGTCACCTCCTCGACGTTGCAGTCGAATCCACCGTGCAGCGATTCGATGTTAATGTTTAAATCGTCAAGGAGCGAGGAATTATTGAGCGCGCCCATCAATTGTCCCATCATCGTGCTCGGCGACGGGCCGCACGGCGTGGACGTATGCGTCGGGCTCGTTGCCCCCGTTTGCTGTTGTTGCTGCTGTTGCTGTTGCTGTTGCTGCGACTGCTGGCATTGTTGCGTCTGCATCATGTACTGAAGAGTTTGCTGCTGGTTATTCCCAAGCGTCGTGGGACTCGGCTCGCTCTGTTGATACGACGGCGAGGTCCCAGCTACTGCGCTCAAATTCTGATATTTCGGAGAAAAGAGAAATGGTAGTAGGATCGAAGGATACGATTTCAGAAATAGAATTCGTAATCTTTTTCCCGATTAAAAGATCCGATTAATCGTCACTTGCATCGCGATTAAGGATGTATTGGTTATACAGTCAATCCCAAAAGTTTATGCACTTTAGAAACGCATTTTTTAAAAAGA